CACTGCTCTTCTTGAATCTTGACGTCAACTATTTCACGGCACTTCCTTTCTAACACCTTTGCGTAGACTTAGGCTGAAACTTAAAGGAGATTAAAAATACAGCTCTATTTAATTCAGTTTTTTGCTGTGACAAACAGTACCTTGTCGATGTTAAAGACGGAATAAAGTTTGGCACGACTTACAAATTCGGTTTTTTGAAGAACTATCGCATATGATGACATTCCGTACGATCAGGAATAAGAAACTTGAGTTTAAACCGCTTGCTAGCCGATTCTTTTCTAAAATAGAGAATACAGTTACACTGTCTGGGACACTCTGTAGGCATGCAGAACAAAATTCCTAGAAGCTGATTTGCTCAACAACGCGAAAGTAAAATGATTACAAGTGTATTCTGAGCCACTGCTGCACGACGATTATCAATATTTTACCATAAAATTTTGTTTTCTGCTATTAATTCTCCAGAATTTTTCATACATCTTAGGATCCTATTATTAGTTGATTACTTAATTACTGTCTATGAGAAACAGGCCATATCTGTGGATCCAAAGATGGTCCGTTCCTTTTGCAACGTATCCAACCTATTGCAATTTTAACCCCCTCGCTCTTGCAGGCATTATACAACCGTTTTTGAGCTTGTGCCATTAATTTATGTTTAGATTTCTTCCTGTTATTCAAACCATACGTTGAAAAAACGATCTTCATTAGAAAGAAAGCCAATTCATAATCTGAGTTATCTTCTTCTAGTCTCCAACTACGCAGTCATCAGTCGTTCAATTTCTTTAACGACGTATCCTTTCGGCTCACGTAGGCCGCAACGTTCGATAGCGTCGCCAATGTCTTTGTTCCTGTGCAGCTGTTTGAACTCGATTCCGGAAGAGAGTCTGTCGAGACATGCTCCAAGTCACTTTTGGCCATTTCCGGGGTCTTGGGTAAATCGATTGCGTATGCAGCACCTGTTTCGCTTTCCTTGCAGAAGGTATTCGCAAAGCGCACCTGAATCATTGCAGCTATGACATCCAAATTTTAGCTGTGCATGCACGTCAAGAATTTTTCGGATGTCTGAATTCTAGATTACTTCCATAGCCCATTCTAGTAAGCAAAAATGCCTTCTATTCAAGTGGTTGGAGGAGATGACGAACATTCTTTCTGTACAGCGTATCGCGAAATCTTTCCAAATTTTCATGTAGTCTTAATGTTCTGAGTTTTGAGTAGTTTATTTTTTTAATCAAATTGCAAATGTCGTTCATGTTAGGTTCGTATACCCATATGGAGGAGAATTGGGTCCCACATCGCGTTTATTTTTTCATGAAAATAACTGACAGACGGTTTCAGAAAGTTTGAGCATTTTCTAATTCCGTAATAATCAATAAAAGTATAACAAAGAAATACCAATGC